AGGGCTGGAATGTTTTTGTAAAGGCAGTTAGAGCAGACGAATTTCTCCCCTCGCTGTATAATGACGATCGCTAACCATATATATATATGTATTTTTCGTGATTTTGGCTTGATTTGATTGTCCTTTGGTGAAAACAAATGTTCAATTGTGAAAGCAAACCCTTTCCCCCTGAACGTTAAAAGACAGGAGACTTTGTTTTTGTCTGAAATATCAACGTTGAAGTCGTTTATATATTCGGAAATCCATATTATGGTAATTATTTATTAAATGCATCTCCTGTTTTGTATGTATGTATATATTATTATGTTAATATGGACAATGGTAAAATTCATTATCACAGTTTAGGTGCTATTCACAAATGTATGTAAATCTACTTCGTGATGAATGAAGCATGGCAATAAATGTATGCATCTGATTCTTCATTTGTTCTGTATTCTTTGATGAGAATGAGTTTCGTTAATGATGATCACTCTCACAGATTTTGATAAGAGGATAGGACTTTAACTGGAGAATAGTTATGAAAAATATATATATAAGTATAGGCGGTCTGTGCACATGTGGTGAAACTGATACCTCATTGATTTGATAATCGGGACTTGGAAATCATAGTCTGTCATTAAATTGATTTTAAAATATATGATTTTGACTGCAGTACGTCCTGACATCATAATATTATGTTGTAAACAACTTATCTTATCTTATGTAAAGTAAAACAATTATTGATAACTTCCTGAATTCCAATTGTTCAATGAACAGAATTAATCACAGCTCTGGCGTGAGACAACAATAAATTAGATGTTACCAAAGATTGTCCATTTTATGATCTTAGGCACATGTCGGCGCACTTACATGTGAGCCGTCTAGACGACTGTCTGTTTTGTAATTAAATGGCAGCTGCCATCCAGCCGAATACTTAATCTTGAGACCTATTAGTGTCTTGTCGAGTCAAGTGCGGGTCTCTCTCTTATCTTAGGGAGAATGCGACTGTAAAATCGCCTCGCTAGACAGACAAGTAGTGAATGTTTGAGAAAAATTTAATATTTATGTTATATAGTTTAAACTCAATAAATAATCCATAGTCTTTTTATTGTTCAAATTACTAATATAACATATTTTAACTTGTTCCTTCTAACCATATTTCCAAACAATTACAAACCGTTCCAAACCATTCCAAGTCATTCCAAACATTTCCTGTGTTGGAAATATGTTTGGAAATGTTGCCAATCCAATTTTGGATTTTCTGGAAAGATCGATCCTTCCAAGCTTTGGAAAGTTTGGAATGAGCGATCTTTCCAAAGCAATCCAATGTTCATTCCAAATCGGAATGGACGCTCCTTGGTCCTGTGGTACAGTCAGGTAGAAGGTAAGTGTTTAATGAAACATGACATCATGTTGTACATCAAATACCATTTTGTACGACTGTCCTACATATGGATAATGATGTATAGCAGTGTTGTTACTGTAGACCATATCAGTTTGTCTGCATGCATACAAATAGGCCTCTAGATTACCTACCCTTACCTGGAGGCCCTCATTACATGTACCTCGTGATACTCGGGGGTTCAACGGTACATGTAGACCAACTGCTACTGTTGCAGTCCAGAGCACACCCGTAGAGTCAGGTATAAGGTATAAGGTACGTGAGTGATGACACAAGACATTCTGTTGTACATAAAATACAAGTATAGCATACGACTGTCCTAACATAGATAATAATGTATAGCAGTGTTGTAACTGTAGACCATATCAGTTTATCTTTAAGGACTGATGCTGTATATGCCCTCATACAAAGAAGCCTGTAAATTACCTACCCTTACCTGGAGACCGTCATGTGGTTTTCAAGTGATTGTGCAACTTTGACACTTTCACTTATATTTAATTTATTTGATTTGTTTGTTTGTGGTTTAACGCCGAACTCAGCTATATTACAGCTATATGACGGCGGTCTGTAAATAATCTGACCTAGACAATCCAGTGATTTACATTATGAGTATCGATCCACGCAATTGGGATACGAGGACATGCATCAACTAAGTCAGCGAACCTGACCACCCGATTCCGTTCGTCGCCTCTTACAACAATCATAGTCGCCTTTTACGGCAAGCGTAGGTTGCTGAAGACCTATTCTACCCCGGATCTTCACGGGTCTAATTTATTTGAATTGGGGGCTGGTGTTTGTGTTCGTACCAACGTTACCTCACATATATGTTCACAAATACACCTCTGTTCATCCAGCAGTAACTTGATACCTGGCAGGAAGATACGGTGATGGTTACCGTTAACCTTCTCGTGACTCACAGGCAGGTGGGCTTGTATAATACCAAGGGAGATCAGAATTAACATCGAGTGCGCACTAAACCATTGACCGGAGCAATAAGCATACTTTAGTGTTTGGATTTGGTGCATTATAAATATACACATTATTGTCTATTATATATTGAACAGCATTGAAAACGCACCAGCAATAAATCTTGAAATATTACAAAAACAACTTGACGATGACTGATTTTAATTAGAACAGACATAGACGGATTATTACTAAAGACGACAAAGGAAACAGGAATACCACACGCCACACTCGCAGTCGACCGTCAGCATTCCGTAAATGAAAACGGGACTCATCAGAGAACAGCACACCATGCCACTGCCGCAATCTCCAATGACGATGCCTTTTGGCCCAACGCAGACGTTCATTTCGATGTCGATCAGTGAGCATGGGTCCAACATATGGACGTCGAGCACGTAGCCCTGCTGAGCGGAGACGTCGACGTACGGTGTCAGCACTGATCAAACCCCGTCGGCCTTGTACGGTTGCTGCAGTCCTGGTAGCCGGAAGTGTAGGATCACGAAGATGCCGACGAACAATATGGCGATCCTGACGTGGTGTAGTTACACGACGTTGACCCGGACGTGGTCGATCTCTGGTGGTTCTTGTCTGCTGGTATCTGCTCAATAGCCTGAGGACTGTTGAATGATCGCATTGAAACCGTTGTGGAACGACTCTACTTGAGGTACCAACTTGAAGCATGCCCAAGGCACGTTCACGTTCCTCTGCTTTTAATCTTGGCATTTCTTGTGTCAGTACCCTTCACGTCTGCAGCAACAAGTGATGTGGCTTTTATAAGTCTGTCTTTTATAGCCCTATTCTGCATTCTATTAAGCCCGGATAAAAATAAATCCATATTCATGGTGGTGCGTTTTCAATGCTGTTCAGTATATATGTATTATTTACAGCACCAACTTGTGCCAATTTATTTCAGTCGGAAAACTTGACCAACAGATACTTAGAACCTATAATTATTGTAGCATTCAGTAACCTTAACACGTCTTGACTGTTGGCGCTCCTCTATTATGTACTGTCATGTCAAAATGTATGTACATAAGGTGCCCTTCTCGTCGTAGTTAGATTAAACCCCATCCGTTATCTTGTTAACCTACCCACTTTAAATGAGCATCTGTAATGTCCAAGTGGATGTGTTAACGTTGTCTATATGCATAAAATGAGTATCTTCATGCTTGGTATCCAACTGATGTGCTCATCTATGTGTTTTCAAAACCTTCCATATTTTGACTTGTACCATTTGTTCCCGTGTTACCTCAATACCAATGAACAACTGACTTTCCTGTGCATGTTTTCATGACGGGTGCTACTGGTGGGGCAGGATAAGCTACCCTTTTCGCGAATATCTGTCACCATCACTTTTTGATAAAGTTTGGGATTCAGTTTGAATATCTGCTTTTAGTGATCCATCTCCGTTCATCCATTCATATACTTTTCACCCTTATGTTTTGCGTTTACACCCAATGCAATCGTCACTGGTATTACATTCGTGTGATGAAAGAGGAACAAATCCGTTTATTGCATATTTTCTGCTGTTTGTTTAAATGTTTACAACATGTGGTTCCTAATTCTCTGAAGACATGTTTTAGTCCACATTGGTACAATGTTACACTTGAAGAAGTCGTTTAATTTGCAGTTTTCAAACGAAAACTATTGTTTGATGTCATAGATAGCAGTTTGAAGTCATGATCACAATCAAAGGATTCCATTTGTGGTACCTTATTCAGGACTGAAAATTAGAGTAAATGCAGAACATGATTTTGAGTGAAGTTGTGGCGTCATGGTACTTGACACTTCACATTCCTCACGCCTGCTGACAGTGCCTCGAGCTCCGATAGAGCTGGCTCAAAGTATAGCGTTTCGACTCACACCTGAGAAAATATAAGCATTAAAATGTCGATGATGTCTGGAAAGAACTGATCACTATGTTTTCCACATCTACCAACTTCATGAGACAGGTCGTTTATAAAGAACGAAAGAACATACGACTTAAAAGGCAACCAAGTTTAAAGCCAAAGCTTTAAAGGTAACAAACTAATGTACTTTAACATTTCAAGTATCTTTCCATCTAAACCAGGCTGACTTAAACACAATCAAAGGTTTTGGTGATACCCTGTAATCCGGGTTGCTAGCATCACATGCCCTGTGTAAAGGAACAATGATAAACTGGAACCATGAATCAGGAAGTGAACCAGAGTGAAATTAGATGACCACAAGTGGTATCAATGAACCGTTATGTTCTTTCAGAATGTGGACAGGAATGAGGTTTCATTATCTCACATAAGACCATAGAAGAAGATTGGTTGGTTGGTTTGCTGTTTAAAGCCGCACTCAGCAATGTTCCGGCTATATGACGGCGGTCTGTAAATAATCAAGTCTGGACCAGACAATCCAGTGATTGATATCATGAGCATCGATCCACGCAATTGGAATACGATGACATGCATCTACCAAGTCAAGCGAGTATAGTCGCCTTTAACGGCAAGCATGGGTTGCTGAAGACCTTCTCTACCCTGGATCTTAACAGGTCCATAGAAGACACACCTTAACTTTTAAGAAGTTTCCAATCTCAATTACACTGACATAAAAAATGAGTTTTTTGTGATACACTTTTAATCACCCAATTTTAGTATCTATGAAACCATTGCATTGTTTCAGAATGTTGACAGTAATGAGACTTCTTCTTGTGACTTTGTTGGTGGTGTTACATATTGCGAGGGCGCAGAAAGTATCAACCTTAAATGGCCCACTTCTTGGACAACGTCTGTCAGTGCTGGGCAGATCTCTTGACGTATTCTATGGAATCCCATATTCTAAGCCCCCTGTAGGCGATCTCCGCTTCAAGTACCCTCAGCCTTCAGAGTCATGGGGACCGGAAGTCAGGGATGCACAGAAACCGACGCCATCTTGCTTTCAACCTAAAGATGTTTATAGTTCTGCCGATACTAACAGAGATACTCCTGGTGATTACAGTGAAGACTGCCTTCATCTTACAGTGTGGGCGCCAACAGACAATAGTGGCAAACTGGCCGTGATGGTCTGGATCCATGGTGGGGGATTTTATTTTGGATCTCCGTGACTGCCACTGTATGAAGGCAAATACCTTGCAGCAGAAAATGACGTCACCGTTGTATCAATGAATTACAGATTAGGGCCTTTAGGATTCAGCTACCTGGGACCAGATACCATACCTGGCAACATGGGCTTGATGGATCAAAGACTGGCCTTACTGTGGGTGAAAGATAACATTGCCAACTTTGGTGGAGATCCAAACCGCGTGACCTTATTTTGAGAAAGTGCTGGTGGTGCCAGCGTTGGTCACCACTCAGCCTCACCTCTGTCACGTGACTTGTTTGCCAGAGCAATCATGCAGAGTGGGACCCTTAATTGCCCATGGGCTTACACTGTGCCGAAAACAGCAAAACGAAAAGATGAAGAGGTTTGCTGATCTCCTCGAATGTCCATCATCTTCAACTGATGCAGACATCTATGACTGCTTGAAGACAGGAGAAGCCTAAACTGTGGCAGACGTTCTGCCTGGTTTGTTAGAAGAAGGACTTGGATTCATACCAGTTGTGGACAGCTACTTTCTCCCCGATGACCCCACAACGCTTCTGTCCAGCGGTTCTATCAAACAGACCAGTGTTTTGCATGGTTTTACTAAAGATGAGACAACACTGCTTTCGACAATGACGTTGAAGCTGATGAGAAACGTATCAACATTACCGGAAACACTGATTTTAAGTCGCTCATGGTTATAATAGTTTTCTATCATTTGACATTCTTGCTGGAAATGGAGTCGAAGAACCTCTTTGTCTGTTTTATGAAAGTCAGAAAGCCCCTCTTAAAGACAAAGGCTATTTAGATGTCATGACTCGGGTGACTTCAGATAAGGTAATGAAGTGTCCTCTTTAGTTTGACAGATTGTCCTCCTGCTAACCCCACCTATGTGTACAGTTTTAATCACCGACTATCAATTAGTCCGTATCCACAGTGGATAGGAGCAGCCCACTGGTACGAGCTTGACTTTGTGTTTGGTTTGGTCCTTGGCGAGTCTCTGGGCTGTACACAGGAGGAGGTGAAACTCAGCAGGACCATCATGACCTACTGGACCAACTTTGCCAAGTCAGGGTGAGTGAGTGAGTGAGAGAGTGAGATACAGGGCGGCTGAATGGGTAATTATGTGAGTGTGTGGGTGACATATTCTACCAGGGAATCCACCTAGATCAAAATAGTTGGGACAGATGAAATATTGAGTGAATGATCTCCACTTCGGCCTTTTCATTGTCCATGTACATGAACATTTTCACACTCTTTCACATCAGCTTAGCCCTTTTCTGGTATCCCCCGCTGTGATATTGCTGGAATATTGTTAAAAGCGACGTAAAACCATACTCACTCATTCACGTCATCTTAAATTGATTCCCAAAAGTCATGTACTCATTTAGACCCGTTAATCCTGAAAAATTATTTTTCGCCTAAATGATATGGTGATGGGAGCGGAGTGGGGGTGGTGGGAGCGGGTTCGGGGTGGTAGGGCTGAATCATGTGGTAACAGTGTTCGCTCGTCGCGTGGAAGGACCAGGCTCTATTCCTCACATGTATGGTGTCTCAAGCATCTTTCTGTAGTGCACCGCCGTGATGTTCCTGGACTATTCCTAAAAGTGGCGTAAAACAATACTCACTCACATAATTTCAAACTATACAGAGCAGATCAACCAAAGAAGACCTTTCGAAGTTTTCATATCTATTTGCAGTGACCCCAACGCTCCTGTCCCATTGAAGGTGGACTGGCCGGCCTCTGACAACACTGATCTCACCTACATGGCTCTTGACGTGGGCAGCAACTTAGCCGCAAGGACACGGGGTAGTAGGTAATGTTAATCATGGAATATGTCGGTTTTTTTAAGTGGTTTGAGAAGTGACTTTAATACTTGTTTCTCTTGGCTGAAGTAGATCGAGATGTCAAGGGAAGTAAATGGAATATTTTCCATACCAGCTCAAGTCTTCCTTTAACATTACATTCACCTTGAAAGAGACACTCCAACCTGTTCAAAACTGTGCAAAATGTGTCATGATTATTTAATTTGTTGTACAGAAAAAGAATTACTATCGTCCGATCAACAATACCTGAAGGAGACCACTTGAAATAAAATGTGTTTGTGTAATTAGATCATGGCTTCATGACGCGATTTTCCTTTTCAAAATATCACGGATTTAACCTTTAACCAAGGGCCATAGCGGGACCGGTCCAAAACTCGACCTGGGAAAATGTTTACTTCGAAACATCCATAATGGCTGTGGTATACGTTAAAGGACGACAATACACATGAAAAACGCCTAACACATCAACTTCTATAAACAGCCCCAAGTTGACCTATCAAAAACTCGTCTTGGGAAAATTCTAAATACGAAACACATACACTGTCTGTGGAAATATTCATACATTTATATTTATACGTTTATTCTTACATGTTCATACTGATATGTTCATGCTGATAGGTTCGTCCTTTAAGCTGTATCCATACCCTCTGACGTGATATGTATGAATGGGCCCATTCCAGGAAAACTGTCTGTACGAGATGGGAAGGGCTTTTTCCAGCACTGAATTGAAGAATTACATTATATGATAAATAGGTTATTACTTGTGTGTGCTTGGGGATAGTAAATATCGCTACATATTGCTTATTCCTAATACAGGATATTCACCATCCCCAAACACACTCGAGTGATAACCACTATATAGGTTCATACCGATACATTCATACAGATATCTCCATACCTAAAGTGGAGTCAGGTCTCCGAATATCGTACAGGCTCCTAAGTCCGTACACTTTGATGTTTCCTTGATAGCTTTCAATACTTTCATGCGGCGTCAAACTACTTCCGTTGGTTGAAATGAGGTAATCCCCAACTCTTTTTCAGCTATCACGTGTATTTGTCATGTGTTTTCTCTTACGAGATATGATTGGTTATCGCGAAGTGCACTTGCGCAGAAGCGGTTCTCTCCTTTTCTTGCTGGGTTGACGTCAAAGTCACGATTCGAGAACCTCTACACGTGACAGCTCATTGCGGAAAATTTAAAAAAGCACGAACGGTACGGAAACACGAAATAATGGATATCAGCTGCCATAAACATTTAATATTGAAAATTTTTAATCGGTTTCATACATGTTTTTTTCAAAACAACCGAAATGTGGGTCGTTCGCACAGCAAAAAAAATGCAGTTTCCGGTATCCGGATACCTGCCGGATACCACCGGACACTTACCCAAAACGCGTCCGGGTATCCGGTGGCAGATACCTTGCCGGATACCAGATCCGTGGTATCCGGCATGGACACCTCACCTGAAAGTATGCCACCTGGAATCCGGGTATCCGGCACCGGATACCTCACCGGATACCTCAATCTGGGTGTCCAAGGATCCGCACCGGATACCAAGAATCCGGCACCGGATACCTCATTCTGAGTTTCCAAAAACATGTCACAATTTGGGGGTGCATTTTGTTCAATTAAGTGTGAAACACCTAAATATATATTGGAAACTAACCATGAAAATTGAACATTGCTGAAGGTATCCGGCAGGTATCCGGCAGGTATCCGGATGCAATTTTTCAAGATGTCTTATTTCTGGTAAATAATGTTAGCCTGGGCATATCAGATAGCTGTAGTAATATTCTGTGTCATTTTAGTTGTAAATATCCCCTTAAAGTTGAGATCTATGGGCATGTACTTTTGGAGAAGACAATTTTTTTCAATTTCATCTATAATTCTTTTTAGATGTTAAGCTGTTTAATGAACAAACATCAGTTCTAATACATGTATGATGATATCCTTAAATTTCATGTTCAGACTTCCAGATTATTCTGAGTGAAAGTATAAACTCATCGACTGTGTGCTCACTTGGGCCTTTGGTCCTAGTGAGATGATAATATGATTATTTGTAAAGGTACAAGTACTTGTTATGAGCATACCAGCTTCATTTAAGTTTGAAACACAATATGCCTCACTCTGAGGGTGACATGTACCAGATTTCATCACACTACAGAGAGCTGTTCCTCAGTTACTGCGAACATTTTTACTGAAAGACATTCAAAGCTAATTTGACCTTCAATATCAGTTGCGACTATTTCAAAAACAATTGTAAAGTGCTTCATTCAGTGTAATATTGACAAACATATGACAATGATATACAACTATGTGTATAAGAGTTATTTAGACTTCTGCGGGAAAAGGCACATTTGAGAACAAGAGTCATCAGAAAGATGACATATCCCCCCGGCAGCTGTCTGTAAAGTAACCACTAGTGCATTTCTGTATGTAATGAGTCAACAGTTGAATGTTCTTTAAGAAGCATACATTGTTTACCCACAAAAGATCCACCATGGTCGCATCCATATGAATGCCAAGTTTCGATCAAATACATTGAATATTTTTCGAATTCTGCCCCAGAAATGAACCTCATCCCCAATTGAGTCTATGTCCAACTTGATTCCATTAAAAAAAAATAAAAAATAAAAATTAGAAAAATCCCAAAATTTGAAAGGCACCACTTCAGTATGTGCATGATAGCTTTGCCAAGTTTCGATCAAATACACTGAATGGTTTTCGAATTCTGCCCCGGAAACGAACCCCATCCCCAATTGAGTCAATGTCCAACTTCATTCCATAAAAATTTAAAAAAATAAAAATTAGAAAAATCCCAAAATATCAAAAGGCACCACTTCAGTATGTGCCTGATAAGAGTTGCCAAGTTTCGATCAAATACACTGAATGGTTTGGGAATCCTGCCCCGGAAAAGGAAATGATTACGGACGGACAGACGGACAGACAGGCTGATCACTATATCCCCCGTATTATATGCCGGGGGATAAAAAGTAAGTGTATGACCTGTTGCCAACTTCTATCCCTGCCCTAAGGAAGAGTTTGGCCATTAACAATTTTTTTGTCTGGCTGTGACATTGACCTTTGACATAGCAGATCAATGTGTTATTCCAAAGATGTCCAAGCAATGCATGGTTTCATACGATAACTGTGGCTATCAAACTGAGGCAAAATATTGGAAAATCCCCATTTACACAGCTGGCTAAAGAAACAAACAACAAACAAATTATCAATTTCTTTTATTTATATGCATATATCACACATTGAACAGTGTTCATATATTGGTTCCTGATGCAGTATGCACTTTCCTCCTATTCTTCAATACTCATAACAGAGCGGGATAACTGTTCACTTGAAAGCATCAGCAGACCATGCACACCAGTTCAGAGTTACTTGCCCTCAAACATCCTTTTCCTTCTATATTGCCATGGAAAAACAGGAACAAGGATGAGGGGAGGCCAGATGGGCTCTATCCCTGTTGCATTGTGTTAGTAGAATTGTGAACATTCTATTTGGTGTTTGGGTCCACATTTATAGACAAGTAGTCGCAAACATCATTCCTTTCAAGTGATTACCACATGGCCAAAGACAATAATTTCTTCAACGTCCTTGAAGGATCCCACTCCGACTTGGCATTGGTTGGTCTTCTCACATTTGCCTGACCACCCTTTGTGAGTGTGTCCCAGTGTCAATTGGCATATAACTTCTCGGTAGGCTCCCATTGAAATAACAGGACTCTCCTCATCGCTGTCTGCCAATCCCTTCGGATATCTGGAAGGGTCCTTCCAGACTGTCAACCTGTCATCCGGGTATCTCAAGCTGGACTTCAGTTTCTGCAAAATTATGTATAAAGATTGTAGCAAAAGAAAAGAATTGTTGCAACATGTACTTACAGATAAAAGGCAGCAAATTCACTTAATTTATCATCTTTGAGTTTTGTTATATACCAAACAATTGAGATATATATTGTTCCATGCTGATGAGTTGAAACAATCATTAACTGACATCTCTTAAAAATGTTCCTAGCAACC